AACCTGTCTCTTTCAGTCTGGGTCTTTCACAGTAGTTTGTATTGGATGGAGAGTCAGACAGGTGAAGTAACAAAGCCAGGATGCCATAATGGATGTCGGTCTGAAATCAGACGAAGTATTAGATTAATTCAGCAGATGCAGTTTTCTCTGAATAATGTCAGTGTGTTATCTCACCTTTGTTCCATCAGTATTAGGAAGAGGCGAAGTGAGAAACTCTTCAGTGAGTCGTGTCCAACTCTCCGCTTTACTCAAGTCAGAGTGAACCATGAGTTTCTCATGAATACTGGCAAAAAGGTAAATACAATGAATCATTTTAATTAGAGTTTTAGTAGGTTTCATAAAGGTAAATGTAACATTAAAACATGTTTTTAGTTCAAGTAAAGAAGTTTAATGATTAATTTAAAAGAAACGCTAAACATCAATATGGTATTTCAATGACATTTTATAGAGAGCACAAAATATAATTGCATAAGCAACATCTCAGAGTTTGAAAACACTACTTCTTGTATTACTAGATTTAATCTCCATGACTTTGTCTTCACTTTACAAAAAAATAGCTCAAGAATAGAAGACCTGTGTTTACAAATGCTAAAAATGAAATTATCTTTTACTGTTCCTTCTGCTTACATTTCAAAAAGTGTTGTTCTTCAGTAATTTCTCTTGTTTTCCAGCACAATGTCAAACAATTATTTTATCAAGACACATTTACTCAAGAACCTGACGTTAAGGCTGTTGTTTTTTATGCAAAGTGAAAGTGATCAAAATTCTGTGAGTTTATAATTAAAACAAATGTCTACCAGTGGGTTCAGACATACACAGTAATTTTCTTGAATTTCTACTTGTCACCATTTTAGTAATTTCTCTGAAAACAAGGCCTTTTTTCATTTTGTTTCTTATAATATAATAATGCATCTCGATTTCTTTTTAACTGTATTTATATTGGAAAATCCTTTTAATGTGAAATTATAAATTAGGACCCCCCCAAAAAACTTTATAATTCCAATCAAAACATTAGCAAAGAAAAAGAAAGTGCAAAAAATGTGGAAAACTCATCATACCCATTAATGGAGCGCTGCACATTATGTCTGTTTGCTTCAAGGAAACGATGAAACCTATCCAGGGGAGAAACATTATGATGAAAGCTTCTTATTAAATGCATGTGCAAAAACACAAGAACTTGAAGTGTAAACAGAATTCTAAAGCAATTATTTGCTTTTTATCCAAGTTTAAGCTCAATTTCAAAAGGACGAATAGACGCACTTACTTAAAATTAGACCAGGTAAACTTCAGTGCCATTTGAAAGTTTTGATCTTCCTCATCCTGAATGGCTGTGAAATGTGAGATGAGTCTCTTGGTCTCGAGCTCAAGCTCCTTTTCGAACCTACTCCAGTGAGCCATTCTGATCAGTTAAGACTACATTGAAACACAAGAGGAAATATTTGGGTCAATATAAAAAGTGTCACCGACAGATAATGATTGAGAGAAAGATGACCAAGTCTAGATCAAATACAGCTGTGGGCACTCACATCAATATAACAATTTTGTGACACTGTACAATATAAATTAACATTTTTACATTACTAGGAGGGTTAGATTTATGGCTAGACATTAATAAAACACAATTTAATGGGTAATTTAATAAATATTATAAATACTTCTTATTAGGGCCGTGCAATTGATCGAAAATCCGGTTTTGATTTTGGCTTCTAACGATTATGAAAAAACATTAATCAAGATAAATGATTATTGCATCCTATACCGCCCTCTTTCCAGCGGTACACATTTGTTGCACTGCAAAGCTCAGTTCCACGTGAAAATGACTAAAAGCATGTACTGTAATGAAATGTTTGCAGCATGGGATGCGCATCATTCATATTTTTAATATGAGTGCTTAGCCTCAGACAGGCTCGGAGATGAGCAGAGCACACACATCTAACGGCATCTTTATGTGAGCGCTTTCATGCTCAAATACATGCACATTTGTGTCAGTGCGGTGTTTAGCGATTATTCGTATTAAAAAGACATGTGAAAGAGAAATCATATCAGAGCAGCACTATTCTTAAAGTGACAGCGTGCAATATTCCTGCTGCCGACTGTTTTAATCCTTAATCAAACAACAAAAGGAGAAAATCCCTCACTGCTCTTGACTGAAGAACTTTTGTAGCTGAAGTTTTTTTCTTAAAGTGAAGATGCTTAAAACAGTTTAAACCAAACAGATTTAATAACTCATTTCTAATAACTGATTTATTTTATCTTTGCTATGATTACAGTACATTATATTTTTACTAGATATTTTTCAAGATACTAGTATTCAGCTTAAAGTGACATTCAAAGGCTTACTTATTGTAATTAGGCAAGTTATTGCATAACAGTAGTTTCTTCTGCAGACAATCAAAAATATAAATTGCTTAAGGGGGCTAATAATGTTTAGCTATTAAAACAGGTTTCAAAATATTTAAACCTGCTTTTATTCTAGCCGAAATAAAACAAATAAGCCTTTCTCTAGAAGAAAAAATATTATAAGAAATACTATGAAAAATTCCTCTGTTAAACATCATTTGGGAAATATTTATATTTAATAAAAATTCACAGGAGGGCGAATAATTTTGACTTCAACTGATAATCGTTCTGAATAATCGTGATTATGATTTTTCCCATAATTGAGCAGCCCTACTTTATATTGTAATTACTCTTTTTACATTACTGTGATGGTTTGGTTTGATTTGGTTTAGTGTTGGAGTAGGTGTAGACGTTAATAAAATGCAATTGATGGGTGATTTAATAACTAATATAAATAACTATTTTAAACATTCGGCCACAGCTGTATCTCCTTTAGCAACAGAGAAAGGGAGTAAGAAAGAAAATATACAGCACACCGATAAGATACTGTATGGAGTGATGTACTGCTGTTTAAATAATTATGACTAATACCATGTAAAAATTTGTTCATATTTACATTATATAAGTGGATGTGCTTTGTTAATTATGTATAAATGCACAAACATATATTATACGTATATGTGCGTGTGTATGTGTGAAGAAAAATGTTTGTTTATATATAATAATCGTACACAATTAATAGATAGATAGATAGATAGATAGATAGATAGATAGATAGATAGATAGATAGATAGATAGATAGATAGATAGATAGATAGATAGATAGATAGATAGATAGATAGATAGATAGATAGATAGATAGATAGATAGATAGATAGATAGATGAGCACAAACCTGCTTTCTAGTTGTGATGCTGACAGGGGCGAGTCGTTGTCAACAGCTTCGGTTAGCAAAACAAGAAACCCATCACAACGACGTATGCTACATGTTACAGATAAAGCAAAAAATTTGTCGTCTATCTCACGAACATAATACGAAGGACAAATTGAGGACTGAATTTCAATCTTAATATTTTAGTACGAGCATTAGATGTTTTACGATTTCCCCCGTTGCCGCCTCCATGACTTCAGACTCTTCTTCTGCGGTGCATTGCCGTTGTGAGCGTTCATGCTGCTTAATTGAGCTTTACTGCCACCTATCGTCTGTCAAAAACAAGACTAGACACAACAAACCATAACAGCCAGACTAAACATTTGTGCTAAGAGTCCAGGAACAAAGAGATCTAAAATGATTTTGGATTTATGGAAACGTATTTGTTCATGTGTAATCTGATTAGTATTTAATATAATATTTACTTAAATTCTACTTTGAATTCTAGATTAGCATGTTAGCATGTTTTATTGCAACAGCAAATTCCGTGTAAATAAATAATATAAAAAAGGTTGGGAACCACTGGAATAAAACATCTACAGACATTTCATCATGTATGAAGACCCAATTTAACCAGAAATAAATTATATTGTAAGCAAATCATAAGCATTTTGGAAAAACAACATTTTCTTTCACTTTTTTACACAATTGTTGAGATCCATTCATGAATGTCAAAGTATTTATTTATTTTATTGTTTTAATCTCACTTATTTTAATAAGATTTTGGAACATTTATTTGACATTTAATCATTATTTTTATTTTAAACATTATTATGTATTTATAATCAATTCAGAAAAATATGTATGTGTTTATTTGCTGATTTTTTATAATCTTGTTTATTTGTTTTACATTATTCATTTTGTTATATTATATTATTTTATGCTATTTCTTCAAAATTTTCCACAGACCACCAGCACTGCCTTGAAGACTTCTTTAGTCACTGATTGATGATTGCGTATACTCACTTTTATAACATTAAGTTTTGTAAAATATTCATAAATACATTCAACTTAATAAATATAGTTTATATACAGAATATACATTTAACATTTCAGTTATTATTTTGTTGAGTTTCTATCAAGTTGCTTTAAAATTTTTTCCTTAAATGTAGCACTGTATTTACACATTTTGTTATACATTCTAATACAATATTTACATATGAATACAACTTTATATTAACTTTTATATATAATATCAATTTTAATCTAATTTGTATTTATTTGTTTTATTTTTACTCCATTTTTTGGGTAATTTATTTAAGTCTCACTCAACATTTTTGTATTCTTTTAGAAATACTTTTACATTTATAAATATTTCTGTTTTTATATTCTAATGTATGATTTAAAGTGTCTTGATTATTTATGTTTAGCTTCGAACATTTTCAGCCAAAACACTCTTAGTTTTAAACTTAAAGCTGATTATGATTGGCTAATTCAGGTTTTAAATTAATTATCCATCAAATTAATTGTAATATCTAATGCCCAAAGCAAATATACTTCTGTTTGTTACCATTGTTTTGATGTCAGGGATTTGTTATTGTGCTCGTATTTTGTAACCAGTCGAAGCTTTTGTATTTTCCCCGCCTTTTACTTGATTTCTACTGGATACAGTGAGCTCAGCTTTATGGATTACCTCCTACCCATCCAATCACAACCGTCCTACCCGCTTCTTTCTTCAGCCAATCCTGGCGCAGGAGGCGGGACTCGTCACATCACGGCTGAGAAAAAAAGATTCCACCCTCTAAACTTTCCTGCTGTAAAATCTTAGCGGTGTTTATTCATAACGGCAGGCGAGGCGCCTCATCTGGAGTCGAGCAGCTCAGCCGAATCCCTCCGCTGAGGCCATGAAGAGAAGGCTTCAGAAAAAATACATCATCTTAATTCTAGGATACTCCGTGGCGCTGCTTTTAATTCCATACGTACTAGATTACCGGAGCAAGTCGCCTCACATTAAGGATGGATACCAGCAACAAAAGTGTCCCGATCTGGAGAGCACTATCGCCCTGTGGAGCAGCATCAGGTCGGCCAACTCAACGGAGGCGGAGGACAGCGGCAACAGGAGTCAGTCCAGAACACACATATACCTCCACGCGACCTGGAGGACAGGCTCTTCCTTTTTAGGGGAACTATTTAATCAGCATCCCGATGTGTTTTACCTGTACGAGCCCATGTGGAATATGTGGCAGGCGCTTTACCCGGGGGACGCGGGCAGTTTACAGGGAGCAGTGAGAGACATGATGAACTCCCTGTTCAGGTGCGACTTCTCGGTCTTAAAACTCTACGCAGGCTCGTCCAACGTGAGCACCTCGTTCATTTTCGGCTGGAAAACCAACAAGGTAATTTGCTCCGAGCCTCTGTGCAACGCGTACAAAAAGCACGAGATCGGCTTGGTTCAAGGGGACGTGTGTAGCAAATGCCAGCCCAAAGACCTCAGAGAGCTGGAGAAAGAGTGTAAAAAGTACCCGGTGATGGTGATCAAAGACGTGCGGGTTTTGGACTTGGCGGTTCTGGTGCCTCTCATGCGAGACCCCGCCATCAACCTCCAGATAGTGCAGTTGTTTCGCGACCCCCGGGCCGTGCACAACTCTCGGCTGAAGTCCAAGCTGGCACTGGTGAAGGAGAGCATACAGGTGCTGAGGAGCAAGAAACAAAGCGAGAAATACAAGCGGCTTCTGGTGCCCAGCAACAGGGTGCACCGGGCTGAGAACTATGTCTCCAGCGCGATGGAGTTAATATGCGACAACTGGCTGAACGACATGTCGCTAGTTCTGAACGCTCCGCCGTGGGTCAAAAGAAACTACATTCGGGTCAAATACGAAGACCTGGTGCTCAAACCCGTGGACGAGCTCCAGAGGCTATACCGCTTCGCTAACCTCACTCTTTCTCCAGCCATGGAGAAGTTTGTGATGAACATGACCCGCGGGCGAGGCTATTCCTCGGATAAACCCTTCCTCATATCATCCAGAGACGCCAAAGAGGCGATTTTTGCCTGGCGGGAAAGACTGAATGTGGAGCAGGTGAAGCAGGTTGAAGCTTACTGCAGTGAGGTGATGAGACAGCTGGATTATCAGAAGAGGAACATGGACAAGACCTAAAACCACCCGCACACCAGTGTTTGGTACGTCTACACGTAAACAAAAAGTTGCTCACCTACAGGCTTGGTGATGAAACTCCATGGTTTAGGAGTTCATTAGGTCACCTCTACATTAGTGTTCATTTTGAAGTATTATTACACATGTACAGAGTGTGTAATTATTGTGCAGATAATTTTAGCTCCAACAGAAACGTGGGTTTTGGCTAATATATTATGGTAAAACAATGCCTTTTAAGCACAGGGGTATACTAGTCTTCTTGGAAAAGCAACAGGAATAGTTAACCCAAAAATTACCATTTACTCACACTCAAGTGGCTTCATGAAACCTTTATGAGTTTCTGATGAACACTAAAGAGGGTATTTAAACCTGTAACCGCTGATATCAGTAATTGAAAATAAAACATGCTATGGAAGTCAATGGTTACAGATTTCCAGCTATCTATAAACAATTATTATGTGTTCAACAGAGGAAAGAAGGTCAAACAAGATGTGCATTATATGTGATGCGTATTATATGTGACAATTTAAAATTTTGGATGAACTATTCCTTTAAATATCACAAATGATACTTAAGATTAAAAAATCATTACCATAGTAGCACTACCATTGAAAAGTTTGGGGTCAGTAAGTAAAAAAAAAAAATTCAGAATACAATGTTGTCATTTAGAGCAGTGGTTCCCAAAGTGGGGGTCGGGACTAGACACGGGACGATAACCGTTTTCAACAAAGCTGAAAAAATTTTTTTTTTTGTTAATTCATGACAATTTGCTTTTGTATAATTTTATTATTATTAGCAGTATTATTTATTATATCCATATTTATATTTGTTTTATTAAAAACAAGCGTAGATTTGTCCACCTGTAAGGTTTTAGACCATATGGAGCACAGCATGTGTATTTGGATATAGTGTGCACCACACTTCGTTATTATTATTGTTGTTCATTTATTAGTTTGCTGCAAATTAGAACTGAATTTAGAAAAAGTTTTTAAACAAATCTTTGCGCTTAACAAACAAAATAAATTATTTATAGGCTAATTTATGTCTGTGCGTACAAGTTTTCCCTGTCCACGAGAGCGAAAGTAAATAATGAGAGGCCTTATCTCTCATTCTCACGCTGCAGATGCTCTGTTTAACTGTTTTCTTGCTAGTGAAATGCTCCATTTTTCCACTTACAAAGTCCGTCATGTAAATAGCAAATGCGCTATGCACGATGCAACTGACTCTTAAAGGGAATGGGAGATGAGACTCTGATTGGTTTATTCTCAAAACACACCTACAACTTAAGAATATAAGCTCAACCGTTTTAGACCATGCGCCATCCGCAAAGCGGAGTTTTCCGCCCTTAAATTAGCAAAAGTGGATTCTGACACGCCCTGAATGTGTTTGCGCCCTGCGCTTTGCACTTTGCGCATGGATCGCCAAAAGTTTCTGCTATTCCATTGCGTTATATGCAAGATTTTTATTTACATTTTGTGTAGTTTTTAGTTAACAGTATCTCCAGCAGAAAATATATCCAAACATGTGATAATTTATTTTAATCATTTAGCCTGACATGTTTACTGCTCCAAAACATTATAAACATTCTTAAAATAAAATATATTGTGTTCAAAGGGGAAAAAGCTGTTGGTGTTTACCCGGACATTTAAAACAAACATATTTAAGAGCAGTAATCATAATACCGTAAAACCCTAAGCCATTTTTTTTTATCTAAGGTTATCATATCGTCAGAATCTTATACCAGCTCATGCCTAGTAGGGACCCCCTGGGGGGTGTCGAAACAATTGGGGTGGAGCCGGGGGGTGACTTGGCAATTTTCAAAAATAAAAGTAATTTTATAAAACTATTAAAATGATCATATTTTTTTCCATAGTTTACTGAAGAACAAAATAGTAGTTAATAATAACATTGCTAACATGTTAATAATAAACATTAAAAAGCAACATGCAAATAAAAAGACATCAGCCTTTCGATTTTTTTTTGGTGACCCATGGGGTGATTACGTGAATACTAAAGACACAGTAATAGTGTCAGATGCAGCCCATTGATTTTATGGCACCAGGATAAACTTTCTGACACCTTTACGACACTCACATACATCAAACATAAATACAGGCCAGAACTGAACATGGAGATTGTCTCCAGGTTCTCCTAAATAAAATAATGAATAGACTTGGACCTATTGGTATGTGTGCATCATTGTGTGCAAGGATTATATGTCACCTCAGATTAGGGCTGCACGATATTGGAAAAAATTGACATTGCGATATTTTTTTCCCCTGCGATATATATTGCGATATTTTATATATATATATATATATATATATATATATATATATATATATATATATATTTACTCAAAACTAGGGCTGTGACGGTCACCATGACAACCGCGTCACCGCGGTGGTCATTGCCACCTCGGTTGTCCATTGCCACCGGCCGTAGTACGTGAAGTCACGCACTTTAAAACACAAATTACTGTTATGTTGCCAAGTATTACATATCTGTTAGAATATAACATTAGGCGCGATTCAGCAAGTTCAAGTTCAACCATGAATCTTGTTAGAAAACGAACTCTTACATCTGGGAACATTTTGGATTCGTGCCGACCGAGAAAGGTGAACGAATCAATTTGGATTAAGCTTTTTTTATGGGGGTTTTAAGTAAAGTGTGTTTTAATATTCACTGCTGAGTGCTGAGAGTCCAAACACTGAGGAGCAAATCCATCGATACGCAGATCCACGGGTCCCGAACCATGCAAGCTAGTGGCGATTGACGGTGAGGGAAAAAAGCCATAGGCTTAATCAACTCCTGTCTTCTAAACGCAGAAGCCCAGCTAAGCCAGGCATGGCAGAGGCATTTGCAAAAATGGCCAGATACAAAAGAGAAAGTGATAAATGAAAGACATTGACGAGAAATTGAGCATATAGGCTATTTGGTAACTACTTAAGAACGCGCCGCTCGGAACAGAAGGAGAAGCCCTCTCTCGCATGGTTGTGAAAAAGTAGCCTGTCTGTGCATTATCGCTACAAGCACACCGTCTGACAGTGTATTGCTGGAAACATTATAACTCCATTCTTCACTTAAACCGGACAAAGTCAACATGTTAGTTTTTCTGGCAAATAATTTAAAATATGAATACAAAAGGTGGAGAGAAACTACGCTGTTTTTTTTAAACATCTGACTTATATTGTTACTAGGTTAATATTTTCTTTTTACTTATAATTATTAATATTTATATTATTATTACACTGATTAGTAAAGTGCCATTTAGACTATTTGTTAAGTTCTTAAAAATGTAACGTTTAATTGTTATTATTATACAGTTTCAAGCAGTTAAAGTAATTTAATATTTAACTACAATATTTATAAACAGTTTTGTGTTGTTTTATTAACGAAAGTTCAAAAATAAACATGTACGTTTATACGGATGTTTTATTTATTAATATTAAATTCGGTTATTCCTTAATTTTTACATAAAAGGTAAATTAACTTAAGTAGGCTACATTATTTGTTGATGTACGAGATCGAGGAACATGTTTGCCAGTAAATAATGTTCGCACCACTTAAAAAACAAAACAAATGAATAACTTGCGAAAAGGATGCAATAAAAAATGCAAGCGCTTAATCATTCTTCACAATCGGATTCGTACGTGCAATAAGCCGAGGCTATATTGCGCCGACAAGAACAAGCCCTAAAACTAAGTCTAGAGAGAGAATTAATACTAGTTAATATTAATGATTATAAACACGAACTGCGTTGTATGATAAACGCATCACAATGATGTCGTGATCTTTGCTGGAGAACTGATATGTTATCGCCGTCTCCCCAGCCAGGTTTTCATCTGCTTTTTTCCCCTTCTTCTGGATACAAACAATAAAGTATCAGCGCCAGACCAGTGGTTTAAATTATATTTTACTCTCCTGATTTCTTTTCTTTTCATTAAAAAATAATTAAATGTTTAAAGTTTTGTATTGCATAGCCTATATATTTTTAAAGATTATCATTCAGCCTACCTGCAGCGCATGAGGTTGTGTGCTGGGCAAATCCCCTTTACTCATGCTACCCATTTCATTTATGACACTGTAAACTTGACTTGGCAGGCTGATCATCTTTAAACTCAAAAGGTGTTTTTAACTTGAGACTGCATGCTTCTGCATAATGTGAGGTTTCTTATTACAACTGTTAGCGGTGTCAAAATGAAAGCAAACATTAAAAAGGGTTTTGTTTTATCAATTGTATAGTTTAGTTTTAATAATAGCTAATGTATATAATAAATTATAATATCGATTATTGTGTAGACTACAGTGTTCAACAAAACAATTTTATTAGGTTACTCTAATAGACCAAATCCCTAACTGAAAAACTAATGTGAAAATGACAGGCAGTTGCGTCTTTGCTAAAATTAATTTAACGACAAATTTATTTTGCTTTTTTCCCCTTTAGAGATCAAAAGAGATGTATTTAAAGAATTATTTCACTAAAACATGAATTGAATGCCCAGTTCTTTCCCGTGTGAGTTTAGTGCGCCTCCGCCGCGTCTGCGTTTTTAAGGTTAGGTGCACCCTGACCTGACGCGGGACCAGATCTCTGTATTGCTTTAATTTCTCAATTTTCATAACTGCATTGCATTTTCATATGGTAAAATATCAAAATTTATGCTCTGAAAGTAGTAGGAATGACGGGAGTGTTAGTAATTAATAACAGAAAGAACTTTCACTTTTGAGTGAACTTCTGACACGTGTTATTTTAGTATAATAAAATAAACAAAAATAGTAATGCAGAAAAGTATTTTTCGCTCTGCCAAGCCTTCTCTGTTGCTGTATAGAGAAGCAGCCTGCTCAGTCTCCTTACCCCGGCCCCACCCCGCCCACCGACTCCTGAACGTCTCACTCACTAACTCACTCACTCACGCGGGCATGCAGTGCGGTCTCATGAGGAAACGCAGCTTTTTGATATAATTTTTTTCTTGTTCCCAAATACAAATAATTTATCAAGTATTGTTTGACATAAGTATTCGTAAAA